TGCAGTATGTGTGAGGCTTGCATTTGGGTCTTGGGTGGCTGTGCCCTTTTATATATATCAACTTAAAAGCATGTTGGGATAGCCCTCTTTCCCACACATCTTCCCAACCCGTATCTTGCTCAACATAACTTTCCCATTCAATCAAGACTGCCCTTGACATTTAAATCATTTTGATTTGTTTGCCTATATTTTTGCTCAGGGCTTGAGAGATTAGCTGCCAACACAAGGTAGACACTCAAAAAATATTTGCTGAATTTTTGGATGAATTTCTAAAAGATCATCAGAGATCTTGTTTTTTTTGTGTATGTGTTTATGGTTTTGTCTGTTTTCTTATTGTAACATGGTCAGGCTTTGGGGAGAGCAAATGGAATGAAATTTGAAGGAGAATTGTATGGCATTCTGAACTGGCACTCAGGTACTGGAGGGCTACTTCTGGCTGTGTAACTCATTAGTGACATGACCTTGGACAAGACATCCTACTTGAGCCTTGACATCTTCAACTAAAATGAAGGGTTTGGTCCAAGTACACTGCAATGTCTGTTCTTTTCTGTGTCTTGGGTTTCAATATTTGCCACTCCTTCCATACTCCTATGAAAGAAATATTGTCTTTAGTCATCAACTCAGTTTATGTAAGAATGTTACCTCACATTTGGTAGGATTTTGCCATGTTCAGAATCCTTTCATCTCCACTATCTCATTTGATTTTAACCAGTCACATAAAATATTGAAGACATTCATGATTTTATGTCTCACACAATGTTAAACTTGCCCAAGGCCATAATTTGGCACAAAAGGACATGACACTTACATACTAGTATTCTGACTATATGTGGCACACTTAATTAGAATCTCTTCAGTGTATGAGTGGGACAAATTTTTTAACCACTTGAGCAGTGGTAACTACTCCCCCTCCCCACCCAAATATTAAGGACCGTTTTTGAAATGCTGATATCTAAAGCATTCTCCCCCCCCCCCCCCCCCCCCCGCCCCCCAGTTTAACATTTTAGTTGTGAGGACCAGAAAAACACTCAGATTAACTCATTTAGAGAAGGATAGCACAGCAGGAATCAACTATCTTATGGATAGGAAGCAAGGTGGTCCTATTAATAATTGATAAAGGATCCCAAGATTGCAGGATACTATACCAAGGTTGCAGGTTTAGTCCTTGGTCAGAGCATGTATAAGAAGTAACCAATGGCCCTGACTGGTTTGGCTCAGTGGATAGAGTTTTGGCCTGCGGACTGAAGGGTCCCAGGTTCGATTCTAGTCAAGGGCATGTACCTTGGTTGCAGGCACAACCCCAGCCAGTATGAGATGTGTGGGAGGCATCTGGTGCATGTTTCTAACTCTCTCTGCCTTCCTCTCTGTAAAAAAAAAATCATATATATATATATATATATATATATATATATATATATATATATATATGTATATATGAAGCAACCAATGAATGCATAATAAGTGGAACAACAAATTGATGTTTGTTTCTCTCCCGTTCTCTCTCTCTCTAAAAAAGTCAATAAATAATACAAAAAAATTTTTTTTTAAGGATAAAATACTCCTAAGCATTTCTTCCTCGGACTAAATTGTCCTGGGAACTCCCAAAACCATTCTGTTTTATCTGAAAAGCAGTGTCCTCTGCTAACTTTTGGTTCTTGTTTCCCATTACCATGGGTCTCACATGGATTGGCTTCCTGGCACTAGCTCTGGCCAGCTGACTCCAACATATCCGATCATCATTTACCATAGATTCTTTTATTTATTTATATTTAAAATATTTTTATTTATTTCAAAGAGAGGAAGGGAGAGGGAGAGACAGAAACATCAATGGTGAGGATCATTGATCAGCTGCCTCCTGCACGCCCCACACTGGGGATGGAGCCTGAAACCTGGGCATGTGCCCTGACCAGGAATCCAACCGTGACCTCTTGTTTCATAGATCAGTGCTCAACTATTGAGCCACACCAGCCTGGCAAGACTCTTTTAATTCCCGTGGTTCAATCAGCTGGACCTGTTGGGGCTTGGACTCATGTGGCACTCACATCAAGTTCTACCTCTATATCAGGATTTATGGAGAGATTTATAGGGAAGGTAGTCTAGATGGAGCAGGAACACCAAAACAAATCTATTACATTTTTTTTTTTTTACAAAGTTTCACATAATTCTATTGACTTTGTTTCTAGGGCGACTTCCATCTTTATAAATATATCTATTCTTGTGATAGTTCATTTAAAAAAAAAAAAAACTACCCAAGCCCTAACTGGTTTGGCTCAGTGGATAGGCTTCCAAGACTGCAAAGTTCTAACTTCCCAAGATCTGTAGACTGAAGGATCCCAGGTTTGATTCTGGTTAAGGGCATGTACCTTGTTTGCGGGCATATCCCCAGTTGAGGGTGTGCAGGAGGCAGCTGATCGATGTTTCCCTCTCATCGATGTTTCTAAGTCTCTATCCCTCTCCCTTCCTTTCTATAAAAAAAATCAATTAAAATATATAAAACATCAAAATTTAAAATAAGAAAGTTAGTTTCATGGTTTCCTGATGGTAGAATGCAGTTAAAAAAAAAATCACTAGGCATCAATTGGGTGCTTTAGGTCCCAGACCTGATCCTATCATTGGTTTCTGGACAGATCATTTATTTCCCCTTGAAATTCAGGAGAAGGGGTGTGTATTAAAATCTAAAAAGTAGAAGGAATTTTATGAGATTATTTCATCTAGCTTCTGCATTTTACTGTAAAAGAGACTGACATCAAGCCTTAAGTTACAGAGCTGATTAAAGAGGTAGAGCCAGTAGAATATTTCCCCTAAACAAACATTTATGGTCTTTTTATTACATCATCTCAGTAGAGCCTGTAGAGGCTTATGCTGAGAAACAGAGATAATGCTTTTGATTGATAATGCAGCATAAAGTAGTGTCTAAATGTAAAAATGTTATTTTAAGATGAGAACATGGAAAGAAACCAGAACACAGGAATCTTCCCAATGTGTGAACAGACAGGAAACAAAGTATAAATGCCCTAATTCTTGTTTCCTAAAAACTTAAACATAAACAAAAAGTCTTGAAAATTAATCTGCCACAAAACTTTACCAGAAAATGGAGATTAGGACATTTCTGCTGCCAAACAGTATAAACGATACAGTTGGATGTTGACTCTGATCATAGATGGCTTGGCTTTAAAGGTGAGCTCTATTAATATAAAATTGTATAACTTAGGTAAGTTTTTTAAATCACTTATTAAACTGCTCTGGATTAAGCTATTCAACATTAAGTGAACAGAAGGTCACTGCCACTAATTTAATGCCAACAGGTTTCCAATCTAGGGCGCAGAAAGAAAATAAACTATTCAAAAGATCAGTTTCCAAACTGGGAAAGAGGCCTCAGGAGAAAACCAAAAATGCACCCCATAGAGACAACCTGAGTCCACTCTTTATATAGAAGTCTCTCTCCCTCCCCCATCCCCTCCAGTCCCTGATTGGCCCATTTTTAAGCAAACGAAGATTCCAAGTTTGCACAGTCTGATTGGTGCAAATAACACTGTCCTTTGATTGGGCAGAATAGCACACTCTGAATGTTCTTTCAGGAGCTGCTCTGATTGATCAGTAAAGATGCAAATGAGGGTATAACTGTCATTCTGATTGGATGGGTCATCTGTCAGCCCATTGGTTGAAACAGACACCAGGAATTCCTTTATAAGGTCAGACTGGCCTGCAGGAAGGAGGCTAGCAACTCAGTCTGTGGCTTCCCCTGAAATGCATCCTGTGTTAGAGCTGTCAGGAACTGCTAGAGATTTCGGGCCGAATTAACTGGAAGAAAAACCTCCCCTGAAAATCCGATGGACTAGATTAGAGCTATCAGTGGGTTTAGCAAGGAATTATAGGTGGAAAGGAATGATTGTAGCGATTGCTCCATCTTTAACTTTATTCTTTTAATTCTTAAGAAACTCTTAAAGTGGGTATTATTCTTTGCACTTCACAGACTAGAAAAGTGGAGATGGTAGTTGCTTGGCTATCAACTATAAATTGATTCTGTAGTGCTTCCTGGTAGAAACTCAATCTGAGTCCACCCAGCAGTGAATGAAGGTCTTTTCCAAGGGGAGGCTTCCAAGACCTGTAAAAGTTCCCCCTTTCCCCGGGGGGCTTGGAAGGGAACTGTGTGTGGGTGATGGAGGAGGAGAGCACCCACATTCCTCTTCTAGCCCAGGAGCTACAGGCTGGGGCAGGGGACTTTCTCCAGGACGCTCAAGTCTCCCTTAAAGAGGTCGGGTTTCACACAGCCAGAGAACTGGGGCTTGAGGCTTTCCTCCTTTGGGGGGGCGGGCACGGCCTAAGTGGAGCCCCCTCAGGGTGAGCCAGGGGAGCTGACTCCCCTGTGGAAGTCTGGGTTTCAGTCCTTCATTCAGAAACTCCACCTTCTGAGTAATAAACAGGGGAGCCAAAGAAGGGGACCAAAAAGAAGTATGCAGGGATGCAGGGCCTGATAACTGCCCCAGCCTCCGGAGCCCTTGCCTTTCGGCCCTAAGCGCGACACCCGCCCCCCTCCCCACCCCGGTTCGGCAGGAGGCGTGGCCCGCGGGCGCCGCCATCTTGGGCGCCGCTCTAGGCGCGGTGTTTACCTCTCTATGGTCTCCGCTCCTGCCCCGCCCCTCCCCAGTCATTGTCTGGAGGAGCAGCCGCGGCCGCAGCGCCTTCTCTTTATAAGCCCGCAGTGCCCGGATGTGAATGGATTACAATGTATCTTTCAGGGGAGCCTATTATCATCAATGTGACTCCGCGGGGGAGTCCATGGTGATGATGAGGATGAGGATGAGGAGGAGGATGAGACACTTCTAAACTTGGAACAAGTTTAAGACTTTATGAGAGGAGAAGAGAAAATAACAAACCAAAAACCCACCACCAACAAGATTGGTTTGAGGGGAAAATGATAACTATCCTGTACTGATTTTTTTTTATAAACAATAAGAAAAAGTTGTTGGATTTTTTTATGATTTTTTTTTTTTTTTTTTTTTTTTTTTTTTTTTTTTTTTTGTGGAGGGAGGGAATTTTGTTGCAGTTTGATGGTGGAAAAATGCAAAAGCCACAGCCAGGTGCATAATCTTGTGGATATCACTGGAGCAGACTGAGTACCAGTTAAAGTACTTTTTTGGGGGGACACACATGTGAGATACTAAGTCCTTGCGGAAGATTTTTGTTTCTCTTTTTAAAGTCACTTTTCCTTGGAATATTGTGAGCATATTTGTGGCCATTTAAGGTAACGTTACCATTTGTAATTGCATTTAATTTTTTAAAAATATCGATCCCAATGCTTTATTCAAGCAAAAGAAACCAATTAAATGATTGCCAATGGGGTAAAATTGTGTGCATGTTGTGTATGTATTCCCACATAGAGCAATAAAGGTTTTTTTTTTGTTTTGTTTTTTTTTGCAGAATGTGTATTTTAACACGTTAATATTGCGTGTGTTGTAGACACCGGGTAAAGCACGCTTGCAGTTAGGAGCCGGTGGAATTCTGAAGCTTCATTTCTAACCTAAAAAGTGATGTAAAAAAAAGTATGTTTTAAGAGCATGCAGGGCCTGTAACGGTAAATGCAGAAATTAAAAAACTTACAGTGCTGGCGAACGGGGGGACTCGGCGTGCCTAGGAACTCAAGTGTAAAAACAAAACAACATCCACCTTCAAAAACGGCCTCTCTCTCTCTCTCTTTTTTTTTCTTTTTCCTTTTTGGCAAAAGTTTGCAGCTATACTATTCTGTGACTTAAAAAGGAGGGCGAAGAAAGTATGCGATTCAGGTTTCGCCCCCAATGCAAAACTACTGGGATGAAAATCTTTCCCCCGGCTTGGTTTATCCACGGAAAAGAAAAATATTGCTCCTCTCGGCCAAGTCTTTTTGCATCACGTGTAGGTGCAGTCTAGTATCAACTTGCTCTGTGGCGTGTGTGTGTGTGTGTGTGTGTGTGTGTGTGTGTGTGTGTGTAGTCGATGTGCGAGTGAGAGAAGGCACGGGAGTCAGGGAAAGAAAGAAGTGAAGGGGGGGGGGGGATGCAAACTCGAATAAATAATCTCCAAGTGCCTCCGAGGGTGCTGGAGACGGGCAGACCCTGGGCTGCTCCGTCTTCCGATTGCAATTGACGATCGGGGGAAAGCAAGCGAGGTGCTCGATGCATGTATTATTTGTGTGTGTGTGTGTGTGTGTGTGTGTGTGTGTGTGTGTGTGTGTGTGAGGCGGGGGAGGTGTTGAGATTTTTCTCCCCCCAGGAGGGTGGAGAGAAGAGGGGGGTGGCCCCCCGCGCATCCCCACCAGCCCGATCCCACGGAGCCAGCCGCGTCTCCCCGGAGCCCCCCCACCCATTTCTTTGCTGAACTTGCAATTCCGTGCGCCTCGGCGGCGGGCCCCCCTCCCCCTCCCGTCCCCTCCCCTCCCCGGAGGAGAGAGTTGGTGTTAAGAGTCAGGGATCTTGGCTGTGTGTGCGCGGAGCGGTAGTGGCGGCGGCGGCGGCGGCGGCGGCGGCGGCGGCGGGGAAGGACCGGGCGGCGGCGGCAGCGGGGAGACATGAGCGCCGCCCCGGCGCCAGCGGAGCCCCGGGAGCCCCTCGTCGCGCGCGGGCGGTAGGTACCGGCGCCGGCGGCGGGCGCGGCGGGGCTGATGCGCCAGGCGCGGGGCTGCGGCGGCCCCGCACGCCGCTCCGTTCGCCTCCGGGGGCCGCGGGCTCCCGGCTCCCGGCGCTTCCAGCAGAGACACCCCTTCCCCTCCCGCGCCTCTTCCCTCCCCTCCCGCCTCGGCCCCCCCCCCCTCCTCCCGATCCCCTCCTTCCCCGCCGCCACCCCTCCCCGGCAATGCCACTTGGAGGGACGGGTGACTTTGCCAAGGGCCTGACTTTAATTTTTACAATCCTTCCTTTCTTTCGCAAATTAGGCTGCTGGACAATTACAGGACCCGACCCCCCACTCTCCTCCCCTCTCTGCTCCCCCCATCCCCCCACCCCCCGCCTTTTCCTCCGACCCTGTCACCCCTCCTCCCCCTGCGGACGTGTTTTCACTCCAGAGACGCTCATCTTTAATTTCTTTATAGCTACTTTGCAGTGAGGAGGGGAGTGGTGTGGTGTGTGTGTGTGTGTGTGTGTGTGTGTGTGTGTGTGGGATGGAGGGTGGGGGGGGAAAGTTGAGACCGGATCGTTCTCAGTAGTTTCTCTTTTTTCTCTATGATCCATTCATTTCTCGCTCTACCTCCTGTTGCATAAAATGATGCGCTGAAGAGCGTCTCTCCCCTCTCTCTCTCTCTCTCTCTCTCTCTCTCTCTCCTCTCTCTCTCTCTCTCTCTCTCTCTCTCCTCTCTCTCTCTCCTCTCTCTCTCTCTCTCTCTCTCCTCCTCTCTCTCTCTCTCTCTCTCTCTTCCCGGATTTGGTTTGATAGTGGATGTTACCAGTTTTGATCGTCTCTTTGGAGATACAGTATCAATAATCGCTTTTTTTTTTTTTTTTGCTATTGCTGCCTATTCCATCTTTAAAACAAAACAAAACAAAACAGAACAGAAAACAACTCTCCCATCCCTCCCTCCTTTCCACCTTAATCCTGCCCGCCCCCACATCCTCACCCCCAATCCCTCCCCCCACCCCCCAGTCTCCAAAAATCCGATTGTGTTTTCTCCCAAGGATTGGGACTGGATTTTCTGATTGCGGTTATTTCCATGTTTCTAGGTTTGTGTGATTTTGCTAAAATGCATCACCAACAGCGAATGGCTGCCTTAGGGACGGACAAAGAGCTGAGTGATTTACTGGATTTCAGTGCGGTAAGAAAGAACGGTGGAAACTAACAACAGCTGTGAAAACAAAACAAAACAAAGCAAAAAAAAAACCCCCCCCAAAAAAACACACCCAAATACTTAGCTAGACACCAATAGTGATCTGAAGGACAGAAATAATTTTTAATTGGCCGAACCCTCGGTAAAATGAAGGTGTTTTTGATAAAGTTTCAACTACAATTTTTGGGTGTGATGGACGATTCAGGCTCCCCCCCCCCCCCCAGTCTAATGAACTTGCCTTGAATTCCATACCCCCCCCCCCCCAATAATTGAATCTCACCCCACTGGAAAGGAAAAACAGACACCCATAACATGGCAAATCACTCCTAAAACTTGGCCTTATCTGAACAGTTGAAAGTACGAATACTTTGGGCACTACTCCTTTTATTTATTTACTTATTTGTTTCTAGACATGGAAAGGAGAACATAGGAGGCCCTGTAGACTCTTTAAAGTTTTAAACTGATGATGCTTTGGATGAGTAGGATCTGTAGTTACTTCGTTACTCTCCCCCCCCCCCCCCCCCAGGATTCTGAGTAGTGTATTTAGTGAGCATATATCCTTTAGAACCCTATATACTGTTTTCTTATACACTTCATAGCGACGAGATCAGTACAAAGAAGAGCTTACACACTTGTGGAGTTTTTACAGCTGCACTTGGTCCCTCTCCATCCCTCTGCTTCCCTTTCCCAAACCCAGTCCCACTCCTGTCAGAGGAATTGAGTTTTTCGAAGGCAGATGAGTTTGGTGTGAGATGCATTTGCAAATCAAACTGAAAAGAATCCACAAAACCCATCAATACAGTCCCAGCCACCTTCTGAGGGGGGGCTCTCTCATGCTGCTGCCGCCGCCGCCGCCGCCGCCGCTGCCGCTGCTGTGCTGCCGCTCCTCCAGACCTTCTTTTGGAGAAATGGCTTTCGGAAGTTTTGCCAGGAAACATAGCTCCGGCAGCTTCGCAGCCCCCTTTCTGCTTGCTGCACTTTCTCCATTCGTTCCTTTGCTTTTTGCAGGCTCTGACCCGGGGAAGGTGCGCATTATCCACTTAGATACTTGGAAGAAGAGGGAAACTAATTAGGGTCGAAATAAATGCTGGAGAGAAGAGGGAGTGAAAGAGAGAGAGAGAGAGAGAGAGAGAGAGAGAGAGTGTGTGTGTGTGTGTGTGTGTGTGTGTGTGAGAGAGAGAGAGAGAGAGAGAGAGAGAGAGAGAGAGAGAGAGAGAGAGAGAGAGACTTGCTTCAAATTGCTCTCATGTTAGAGATGAAATGAGAATTTAGTGCAGGTGGCACTTTTACTTTTATTTGGGTTCACATATAACAGGCAAATCCTATACGGGCTGGAAAATGGACATTGCCACGTTTATGGCCAAGGTTTTCATATAAAACAAACAACTTTTTCCCCCCCCTCCTTCTCCTTTGTAAAACTAGTGTTTTCTAGAGAGGCTGCTGCCCTCCACACTGAATCCTGATAACCTTATGGGGACTGTGTTTGTTTAAAATGTGGTAGTACCGCCTAGTCCTGGCAATCTGATGGACCTGAGGAAAAAGGAAGGAGTGGTAATGGGGGCGGAGGGGGGGATTGCCAGTGCTGTGCCTGCTTTAGTTCTGAGTTGGATGGTGATGTGTTTTACTAAGATGAGCCCCTTAGCACAAACTCTTAAGTTATATAGTGAGAGTGTGAAAGAGCTTTGATGAATTCTGAAGGAGCAGCTGTCTTCTTTTCAATAGTAATATTTCTTTGTTTCTTTTAGATGTTTTCACCTCCTGTGAGCAGTGGGAAAAATGGACCAACTTCTTTGGCGAGTGGACATTTTACTGGCTCAAGTATGTACATTCTTGTCTTCGTGTGTAGTCAAATGTCCGTTGCTGTTTATTCACTCATTGTATATTATTTGGCTCTGATGAAGTGTTCTGAAAAAGTCATTGAAATGTTAGCCTGTAATGATATGGTTATTTCATTATCCATCAGTGGTACAACTTAACACAAAATGTTGTCTTTTGCAAAATTAAAATTAGGCCTTTTTTTTTTTTAATCAAGGAAACTGTCTCAGAATTTCATTACTTAATTTAAAAGCAATTTTCTAATACAGTTATAATCAAACATGTGGAGATAAGGCCAATGTTAAAATGAGGGAGATAAATTAATGTTCCCTATTTGGAAATAGAAGGCGGGGGGGAAATCTAACTTTCATAAAAAGGGAAAATCCCTTGTAAATAATATCAATTTTATTAGGTTCTATGTATAATTAACCCTTTTAAAGAAATGAGCCTGTAATTTTGCAGCTAATGCTGTGTAGTAAACCATAACTGTAAATAGAAAGCCTCTTGCTAAGCTGAGAGCTAAATATTAATTCATTTATATTTAAAACAGCCTTTCTGATGCTTTAGCTGTTTCTGTCCCCTGGGTATTGTGTGTGCAATGAATTTTTGCTGTATTTAAAGTTGCAAATTGGGAAGAACCCCACATTATTTAAACGATAGGTCTTTGGGTGATGCTTAAAAAAGACGTTAGCACTAGTCACAAAGGGAACTGGGTGCGCACTGATTATCTGGCATGTGAGGAGCAGTTTTAATAGGGGACTCTGTGAAGGTCTCTTATTAAGAGTGAATACTGAAAATATATTTATTTAAAATCTACTTGCCATTTTGTCTACTGAAATTCATCTCAAAAGGAGGCATACATTGTTGCCTGCTATTCTTTAAGTTCAGCGCTTGAATCCATTTCTGCTGGTTAAACAGCTGCCGTATTTTAGTGCTGGCAGGGGTACATAACAGTACATTAGACAGTGCTATTCTTAAGTCAGGCTGGTAAATGTTGACATTTTTTCAGCTCTGAGATGCGAGTGGAATTGTCTGCTAACTATTGAATATAATTTCACATCCCTTACATTTCAGAGCAATGAGAAATCTGTTCACCTTTGTGATTTGTGTAATTGGTGCATTTTTATAAAATGAATGGCTTATACAAGTTGCTCATTTCCAAATAAGCTACTTCTCCTTCTTCTGGCACTCATCAGTCTAAGGGAATTTTAGACTATGTAACTTGATTTATAAAATATGAGATGTCTCCTGTAGTTATATTTTATCTTTTTTTTTGGGGGGGGGTCCACTTTATGATTAAAGTACTGTTCATAGGTTTCTGTTTTACTGCCCTGGACCCCGTGGTAGTTTATTGCCTAGTACTGGCAAGCTAATGAACCTGAGGAAAAAGAAAGGAGTGTTAGTGGGGCTTAATTTTTTTGTTTTAGTATTATATCTTGGAGATGTCTGTATTCTTTATACAACTTTGGAGTGAAGGTGAACACAAGGGTCTCTTTTAGACAAATTAATTTTTCATGTTAGGCATTTTCCAAACAGTAGCTAACTTTATCTCTGACCATAATGTTCTTCATCATATTACTTAAGAAGATGTGTATTTAGTTTAAATCTAGAAGTAGATTGTGTCAGAAAAGTACAGAGAGAGACTGCTCTCAAAGTCAGTGCAAAATATTTTTTTACACTTTGTGAAAATGGACACATTTGGAGTATCTTAAGTATGTCAGTTTTGGGATGGCCTCATGAAGTGAAGTGACTCAGAATCATGAAATTTTTGAGTTCACACTTAGATAAGAGTCCTTGCTATGATGTTTATTTTAAGTGTTTACAGGGAGTGTTTGCTGGACAAATAGGAATATGTATTACTACATTTTGGTAGGTGATCATATATTGAAACTTACACAGTTCTTAAGACAACTCCGTGTGTGTGTGTGTGTGTGTGTATGTGTGTGTGTGTGTGTGTGTGTGTGTTTGTGTGTGTACATATACATACAAGCATACATGAACCCAGACAGAGACTTCATCCTTAGTGTGATGTTATGGTATTTCTGATGAAGATGCTGTGATTATTTTAAGGTGTTGAACTTTAAGTAACAATGCATCACAGGTGTAGTTCTCAGGCCCAAATGTGGACTTGTAAAGGTAAAAATGTGTGGCTCTTTTGTTTGGGGTACTGGATGGAAAATGCAAGGTATTCAGTGCAGTATGATGGTGACTGTAATATATGGGGTACAGATTGGATTGTTGGTTTTCCTCATCTATTCAAGACATATTTGAACCCAGGGCTATTAGTGAAGTAAATGGCTTATATTTCCACTCAATAAGATAAATCATTGATCCACAAAGATAAAGTCTTTTTAAAGCATCACGAATTAAAAAAAATCAGGAAAACTGGCCTTTCCCTAGAAGGATGTATGAGGTAACTTTGGACAGAGGGATAATTTTTTCTGAATTTGTTTCAGGTTCATTTCCATTGTCGTGAGTGATCTCAGATGTCACTTTCATGGGTAGCTTTGCAACTTGGGTCCAGGGGAAAAAAAAAGATCCAAGCTCTAAGTAGACTGTTCATATTTGAAAAACAAAAAAACCCCAAAATACCAGCTATGGTTTTTCCGTGAGTCTTGGTCATATTTCATGCTTTCAGTTCCCAGTAGCTCTTGATTCCATTAATGTAGGATGCTCCGTCGTGATTTGCAACGTGAGAATGAAAATAAAGTGTGGCCATATTCCCTTTAATCTTTCATTTCACAAACATGGTTTTTCCTACCACCTTAAGAAGCGGCGAGGCTGCTGGGAAGAATGGAATGTAACCTGAGCTACAGCCTGACATTCCCAGGGAGCATTTTTCACATGAAAGGCTTTTGTCAACCCAGGAAAGGACCAGCAGTTTTTGTTTGATGTTTGCAGGTGTTCAGCAGAGAGCACTAAAACAATTCAGCCATGATAGTTCAGAGCTGCGATGACCTTAACGGGGAGACTGGTGGGCTCTGGAATGATTTTTAAGGAATAGTTGTAACCCATATGGTAAACTTATACAAAGAGATTTAATATCCGTTATATCATTGATCTTTAAAACAAACTAAAAGTATCCACATGCCTGAATAATTGGAAAATTGTTCTCATTAAAAACGTACCAAAAGGAAAAAAAAATGCTCCCAGAGTCTATAATTTATTGGTTAACAAGGGCTTAATTTTCTAATATAACAAAAATGCTGTTTATTTGGTGACTTTGAGTCTTTTCTAAGCAAAAGACACATATGCCAGTGTTAGGGTCTTTTTAAAAAAGTAGTTTTAAAGTTGGGCCATTAGAATTATCTATACTCCAGAACAGCCCTAGTCACATCTGTTACATGTATTTACAGTGAGTCTGTGATAGATACGACATCTTCCTCCCTCAGTTTAAAAGTTGAGCTTTTTTCTCAACTGTTTAGTTTTGCTGAGGTGTTCAGCATTTGTTAAAAATTGCCAAATCAATGGGTGTTTGGACAATTAAGAGCTGTAGTAAAATACACCACATCTCTGCCATGGCATTTTTTTTTTTAAATAGGAAAAGCATTTCTTGGTTTTCATACAAGTTAGCTAGCCTTTATCCACATGACACCAAAACAACCCATCAATTTAGTGAATTCAAAGAGAAAAAAATGAATCCAGGGGGTAGTACTGCACCACAGAGAAAATGCAAATGGTCAGCATCCTGAATTGGTTTCCACTAGTTTGAATTCAAGGTTATGACATGAAGAAAAATTGGCCTCCCCTTAAAAGTGTTTGTTGAGTGGAGTTATTTAAGTGTGTGTGTGTGTGTGTGTGTGTGTGTGTGTGTGTGTGTGTGTGTTTTAAAACAACCTTACTATTACAGTGCAAGTTCTAATGGTTGCATTTTTTTTGGTAAAGAGCAGAGTAATTTACTAGGTTAATAAGTAAAGTGCTATTAAAACCCGTTATGTTAGAATCATGGAATATAGGAGATAGAAACCCCTTCGCTTTATACAGCTAAAGAAAACTGAGGCTCAAATTAAGGAATTTCTGTGCTTTTATTTGCTGTTCCAAAAGAACACATTTTGATTTGCTAATTCTCTATGGCTCTGCAAATCCTTTATTGGAATAACATTGGTTTCACTACTATGCTTTGCTGTAATTTGTATTGCATAACAGAGTATCAGGATTTGTGTGTTAATATTTGTGCATGCAAATGCTTCTGCGTGTGCATGCGACCTTTGAATACTTTCTAAGGTTTGGAACTGAATTTTGGATATTGATCATTCTCTTTAGCCCGAACTCCCCTAGGACATACTTGCCAGATGTTAAATTGAAAAATAGGGTGTGGAGGGGTACAACAGTGACAAAATTAAAGTGCTTCTTAATATGCCAGGAGATATGCTGTGCACCTTATATGTATTATCTGTATTGTATCTTTAAAATTTTCACAAGAACTCGGGGAGACACAAAGATTACCATGCTCGTTTCATAGACGAGGAAACTGAGATTCAGAGATGTTAGACAACTTGCTCTCAAGGCAGCCTATAATGAATTAGGTTTGAACCCAGGTTTGCCCAGCTCAACATTCTTTTCACACATGCATACACTGCAGACATAGAGTCAGGTATAACTTACCTTTTCAAGATTATATAGGGATAATAATGTATTATTGAGGCTTGGCTCACCCAAGGATATGTTTATTGATTTTAGAGAGAGAGATGAAGGGAGAGAGAAAGAGAAAGAGGGAGGGAAGGAGGGAGGAAGGGAGGAAGGGAGAGAGAGGGAGAGAGGAGAGAGAGGGAGGAGGGAGGGAGGGAGGGGGGGGGGAGAGAGAGAGAGAGAGAGAGAGAGAGAGAGAGAGAGAGAGAGAGAGAGAAATATCCAATGGCTCCCTCCCTATGGGCAACGTAGATATATGGCCTGGCCATGAATCAAACCCGAAACCTTTTGGTGTTTGACATGATGTTCCAAACAACTGAGCCACCAGCCAGGCAAGAGTAGATAAGCATTAAAAAACAAACAAACAAACAAAA